CTCCACATGTAACAAGTCATCCTCAGGTAAAACTCTTCGAGTTAATTGCATTGTTCATGCAAGGCCTCCAGCTATTGACTTCACTTTGCTAGTGTGTTAGCAGCTTAATAGCAATGAGTTTAATATGTAAACATCCACATTTCAATGATCCTGTTTGTATTTTCACATTTGTAATTGTGCTAAACACATTGTGTGCATAGAGCACATTATAGTTGTTTGTGTAACTACATGTGCACAAAGACTAGTTGAATTTAATCTTTTAAAACACATGACTGCTTTACTCTAAGTGTGTGAAACACTTAGGTTTAAGGTTGTAGATGCTATGCATCTAGACCATGTGTCTTGTGTAAAATTGGAAAAACTGTAATACTGGAATTGTATAGCAATTTCAAGTTGCATGTGTGTCTATGTTGAATTTGTTTGTCTCCTGAGTGGTAAACTCTGCTATGTTCCATATTGCTGCAGTTAAGCAATGTACATGAGCATAGAATTGCCATGTGGCCACTGTGTGATTTCACAATTGTCTTAACAATGAAAATGCTTTCCTCACAGCTGGATTCAATACCTCTGAACTTTGCACTTTATCCATGCTCCTTAAAGGGGTCATAGGATGCCCATTTTCTACAAGTTGATATGATTCTTTAGGGTCTTAATGAAAAGTCTGTAACATAGTTTGGTTAAAATTTCTCAATGGTAGTGTAAAAAAACACCTTTTTTACCCTGTCAAAAACAGCTCTTTTCAGATCAAGCCGTTTTTGTAGCATTTTCCTTTAAATGTTAATGAGCCCCTCGAGCCTGAGAATGTGAGTATGAGATGTGAATCTGGCTCAAAATACTTCAACACCAGTGTTTTTTCTTAAAGGGGTCATAGGATGCTACATGCACATTTACAAGTTGTTTGAACTGAAATGTGTTTTGGCAGTGTGTGTACACAACCACCCTATAATGAAAAAAAATCTATTTTTTAAATCTGGTTAAATGTTTTCCCCATTCTCAAATCAAGCCGATCTCAGATGCCTGTCTGTGTGACGTCACACAGACAGGCATCTGAGATCGGCTTGATTTGAGAATGGGGAAAACATTTAACCAGATTTAAAAAATAGATTTTTTTTCATTATAGGGTGGTTGTGTACACACACTGCCAAAACACATTTCAGTTCAAACAACTTGTAAATGTGCATGTAGCATCCTATGACCCCTTTAAGAAAAAACACTGGTGTTGAAGTATTTTGAGCCAGATTCACATCTCATACTCACATTCTCAGGCTGGCTCCCTGTTACAACAGGACCACATTTGCATCACAATTGTAAAACTTCCTTGCCTTTGTTTGGAGCATGATAACACTAACACATAGCCACAGCTAAATACAGCCACATAGATAAAACCATTTGATCTTCACACACAGAGTCAAATCTACATTTGTCTGATACTGCCTCATATAATGTTATTTATGTTATATTGATTTCTGTTTCTTTGTATGCTGTCCATTTCAGTTGAAACAATGATTTGGTTACACTGAATATTTTGCTTATACTCTTATAGGGTATAAGCAAAGGGGGTGTTAAAATATAACCACCCAAAGACAAAATAACTGATAAAAATTAGCTGTTATAGGAGCAATAGCCATGTGGGCAGCGCTGTGTCATAAGCCATAGCTGTGCACAAGATGTTTGTCACAGCTCCAGACTTATTTGTTTATTAATGACGTCATCAGCGACTAGTCGATTTTGACTCGAATTTCATCACATAAAAGTCGACTTTAAAAAATTTAGAAGTGGTTCAACCCCTACTTTAGCCATTCAGCAATCCTACAGCCTGAACCACTGTAGGGAAACCACCCTTACAGGTAAATATGACATTTATTATAATGGGTTTATGTGAAGATTGTTTTAAGTTCACTTAAATTAGAAGTTATTTTAAGTAGTCTAATAAATGTTAAAATTGTTAGCTTTGTAATGTTGAATGGCTAATCAATGGTTAAATATTAGGGGGGGAAACTATTTCATAGGGACATCAGAGTGATACTGCCTCCACCTGCTGGCAGAGAATTAATGAGAATTTTCAATAAAACTGTAGTTTTGTTCAGAGTTCAGACCAATGCGAAAATCGACCCATGTTTTTACCATGCAAACTTGCAGAGCTTTAAATGTGAACTGGTGAATCGATAAGAAGACAGTGCATTATAAAATCTAAACATAGGGGTGTGCGATATATATGGTCTGCGATAATATTGTAATTATTGTTTTAACGATGTGCGATTTGATATTATGAGTATATCGTGACAAGCAAACACAAAACACACCTACAGAGTGCACTCATACATTAGGTGATGAAGTCTAGTAGGTTAGAGGCATGAAACCGATTGTCTAATGACTGTCAAACTAACTTTACCACCGTTGATTATGCTGTATGACTGCAATTTTTACTGGAAGTGCAGTTTAAAGGTTTAATTTAACATATGTTTAATTATATTTCGGCTAATTATTAGATTATAATTATAAATACTATAGTGTTTCGTTCAGGGATGAATCATTCATCATTTGTAAATGAAAACAAAACACGCTCATTTATCATCACACACGGGCGTAAATATTTGGTAACATATTTATACAGAACGTTAATTAGGTAAAGCGATATACGAATTGAAAGGGGAAATACAACATTAAATAAAAATAGCCCTAAACCAGTTAATAATATAATATTAATAATAAAATAATATTAATAATAATAATAATAAAATAATAATAATAATAATAAAATAATATGAATAATATGAATAATAATAATATGCAAATATTAAATAAAAAGACACAACCCGTTAACGAATTTACAAGACTGTGGGATGGATAAAATGTTTTATCCATCTCTGATAATCGCAGGTTCCTATGGTCACGCAGGTTTGTTTACGCATCGAACTTGTAGCCACGAGAAATGGATGTTGTTCCCTCAACATAGGATCTCGAGGCCATGACTCCACATCGCATATCATGTTCCCACGAGTTAATATGACGTTCCCACGAATTAATATCTCGTGGCCACAACATTTTATCATGTTCCCATGAGTTAATACTGTGTTGTGGCCTCAACACAACTAAGTGAACCGAACATGTCCCCTCCCGGTCACGTTAGTTTTGAACAAATAGTTTGACTAAATGATTCAGTGGCTCAATCATTAAGACTTGCTGCAGTTTTAGGAAAACCTGGTATGTTTTCATTTACATATGTATTTATTAAAAAATGTGTTCATTTTGTAGATTTGAATTATAAATTAACACAATACTGCATTGTATCGTGACACTACTTGGTATTGTAATATATATTTATGGTATCGTGACAACCCTACTGGTAATGATGTGTCTCAGGGAGGGTGGTGTCAGCTGCATTAGCAATTAATTTTGTGTGTTTCTAAATGGGCTTCAGATAATCATTATACCTGGATGGCAGCAAACATCCATTCACACTGGTGTTTTTCCCTCAACATTTAAACAGGCTCGTATAACCCCACTTCTTAAGAAAACCTGCACAATTGTTGGCTGACTAAATACTTTTTTTCCCCACTGTATATATATATATATATATATATATATATATATATATTGTGCACACAGGTGCATCTCAATAAATTATAATGTCGTGGAAAAGTTCATTTCAGTAATTCAACTCAAATTGTGAAACTCGTGTATTAAATAAATTCAATGCACACAGACTGAAGTATTTTAAGTCTTTGGTTCTTTTAATTGTGATGATTTTGAAATCCTTAAGGTTTCTTGGCTGTCGTTTGGCGACTCGAAGTTTCAGCTCCCTCCACAGATTTTCTATACGATTGAGGTCTGGAGACTGGCTAGGCCACTCCATGATCTTAATGTGCTTCTTCTTGAGCCACTCGTTTGTTGCCTTGGCAGTATGTTTCGGTTCATTGTCATGCTGGAAGACCCATCTTCAGTGTTCTGGCTGAGGGAAGGAGGTTCTCGTCCAAGATTTTACAGTACATGGCTTCATCCATTTGCCCCTCAATGCGGTGAAGTCATCCTGTACCCTTAGCAGAAAAACAGCCCCAAAACATAATATTTCCACCTCTGTGCTTGACTGTAGGGATGGTGTTCTTGGTGTCATAGTCAGGATTTCTCTCCCTCCAAACACGGCGAGTCGAGTTATTGCCAAAGAGTTCAATTTTGGTCTCATCTGACCACAGCACTTTCTCCCAAGCCTTTTCTGAATCATTTAGATGTTCTTTGGCAAACTTTAAATGGGCCTGTACATATGCCTTCTTGAGCAAGGGGACCTTGCGGGCACTGCAGGATTTCAGTCCATTGTGGAGTAGTATGTTACCAATGTTTTGCTTGGTGACTGTGGTCCCAACTGCCTTAAGATCATTAACAAGCTCCTCCCGTGTAGTTCGGGGCTGATCCCTCACCTTTCTCATGATCATCCTTACCTCAAGGCCGATTGATTGTTGTTTTGTATTTCTTCCATTTCCGAATAATCGCACCAACAGTTGTCTCCTTCTCACCAAGCTTCTTGCTGATGGTCTTGTAGCCCATTTAAGCCTTGTGCGGATCTACAATCTTGTCTCCGACATCCTTTGGTCTTGCCCATAGTGGTGGGAGAGGTTGGAATGGAAGATACAGATTGTGTGGACAGATGTCTTATACACCTAACGAGCTGACATCGGGAGTAACTTTTTAAAGTGGCAGGACTAATCTGTGTTCCACATAGGCACATAACCAATCTGTGGGAGCCAGAATTCTTGCTGGTTGGTAGGGGATCAAATACTTATTACACTCACTAAAATGCAAATCAATTTCAAACCCTTATATAAGGTTTTTTTTCTATAATGTTATATTCTGTCTCTATCTGTTAAAATAAACCTACCATAAAAATGACAGACCCTTCATTTCTTTGTAAGTGGGCAAACTTACAAAATCAGCAGGGGATCAAATAAATATTTTCCCCACTGTAAAACTGTCACAACATTTGAAGACAATGTAGATATACATACCTTTGACCAAATGATGCCTTGTGGTTTGGGGTGTGTGCATTCAGTTTTGATGATTCTTGTTGGAGTTAGAATAAAGTCAACTGTGAGGTCATGACTTTCAATGAGTTCCTCTGGAATGTCCACAACCTAAACACAGAAATCAGGTTGATGTGAAAAATGTGAGTGAAAAAAAATTCAGATTTGCATGTGAGCTTTAGCTTACAGACTGAAGACCAGACATTCTCGTTCAGAATTTTCTGGTAGAGAGCAGAATTCATGTTTCCCTCAGCTATTGCAAGCTACCCAGGCCCTTACTGAAAGGTGATTCAAAATTTCCAAAAGTTTGGTTGTTACTATCAATGTGGTTTGTGTAAAACATACTAGTGACGTGCTAAAATGTACTAGGAATAACATGCTAAAACATGCTGGTGACTTGCTAAGACATGCTGTAAACATGCTAAAACATGATAGCAACATGTTAAAACATGCTAGTGATGATAAAACATCCTGCCAACTTAAAACATGCTATAAACATATTAGTGACGTGCCAGCAATGTGCTAAAAACTTTTGTTATTATTATTGGAAACCAAGCTTATTATATATTGAGGGCCAAGCATATTGTACAAACAAATGTACATATACATGTGAGGGGTATATAGAAAGAAAAAGATTTTACAGAAATAAGTGCTGCTAATAGAGGAAACTATGAAAACAAGAGTTTGTGGCCAGGAATAGTGTTTCCTGACATTTTTATGTATTACATTTTAATGCTGGGGGAATACACAAAGCAAAGCATTACTGATTTACAAATATAGCTAGATCTAAATCCATAGGATCACATATCATTGTTATATATTGTCAACAGTGTAATTCACCCAGGTCCAGCCCTAAAACTTGTTAAACCATTAAGGCATTATAGTTTTTTTTTTTTTTTACCTTTATATAGCGCTATACAATAGATTGTGTCAAAACGGCTTTACAGTAAAAACGTGTGGTGATAATGCAAGAGGACAATAGTAATCAATCATTTTATAAGTCAGTTCATTATTGATTCAATGATGTCATAGTCCATCTAAGTTCAGTTCTCTTCCAATAGTGTCTGTGCAGTCAAGTCAAAAATGTTGCCAAAAATTGTGTCCCCAAATAAGCAAGCCAAAGCGACAGTGGCAAGGAACCAAAACTTCATCAGTGACCGAAATAAAACAAATGGCCAAGCAAGCGCAGACACTGACAAGATACGCGATACAGAACGAGACCAAACGCGATATCAGCAGGTCTCCACACAGTAAACAAAACAAGCGTTTCCTAGCAATGGCAACTGCACTAAACGGTAATGAAACAAGTAAATACACTTACGAGCTGCTTTTAACTTCCGCTGATAAAGACTGCTTCTCTCAAAGACTACACTGTTTTCTGCTGGCGCTTGAACACACTTTCCTTATTTTCTCCGCAACAAATGGCCAAGCAAGCGCAGACACTGACCAGATACGCGAAACAAATTTAATTAAACCAAATTTTGCTCACTCAGTGTATTTTTGATTTTACAGTTGGGTAATTTTGTTGCAGTATCACGAGATAGCTTGATATAAAACTTTGAATTGCATAAAAAATGACAAGGAGACTAAGCAGTTAATAATAAAATAAGAATAAATAAAGAAATTACTAATGATAGCACAAATAAAAAATAACGATAGGCCTACAAATTAAATAAATTGCTTTTTAGTTTTTCAGGTAGGGCTATTAAGAGATTTTTTTTTTTTTACCAATTATCCAAATAATGTTTAATCCTAGAAAGCTATTATTATCATCAGAGGACACGTGAGCATAACGGTTAGCAGATCAATGAATGAGAGGGCAGCATTACCAGAGTTGCCCATTTATCACACCTTGCTACAGCACAGTAGGGCTATTGCAAACAGAAACAATACTGTACTACATAGATGTTTCCCGTCAGCTTGATTTTTGAGTGGACTTTTCTGTTCCGATGAGCATGAATGGTATATGAGTGGAGCACTCACATGGGCCATGAGCGACTGAGCGGAGCGCACACGCATAGAGCAGGATAATACACAGTGCGTCACACCACGTGAAAGTGAATCCTGAGCAGTGAACTAATTTTCGGCAGGTGGAATTTCAGTGATAACGGTTAGCAGATCAATGAATGAGAGGGCAGCATTACCAGAGTTGCCCATTTATCACACCTTGCTACAGCACAGTAGGGCTATTGCAAACAGAAACAATACTGTACTACATAGATGTTTCCCGTCAGCTTGATTTTTGAGTGGACTTTTCTGTTCCGATGAGCATGAATGGTATATGAGTGGAGCACTCACATGGGCCATGAGCGACTGAGCGGAGCGCACACGCATAGAGCAGGATAATACACAGTGCGTCACACCACGTGAAAGTGAATCCTGAGCAGTGAACTAATTTTCGGCAGGGGGATTTTCGGTGCATCTCTAATTATTGGCGACATCAGAAATGCATATTATATAATAGCTGCTTTTATGAACATTTTAGCAAATATATAAATATAAATGGATTTTTTACACGGCACCCCTGTTCTCGTTAGACGGCACCCCGGTTGGGAAACACTGGTCTAGGTGACATGGTCTTCGCTGACATTCAGGGCTTAGAGGTCGTCTCTACCCAGCCAACATATATATGTGTGCCCCACATGGTTTATGCTGGGTCTACATGGGTAACAAGTGGGCATGGTCCCAAACTGGGCATCTTATCTGGGGCCCACTTGGGTCAGCTAAGTAGGTCCCACATGGGCAAAAACAGATGGGCTTCCTATGTGGGTCCTAGTTGGGTCACAAATGGGAAATGAGTGCATGAGCTCTATGGGCAACACAAATGGGTTAGACATGGGCAAATACAATCAATCCCATATAGGCTGCCTACACTGGCCCAAGGTAGTACCCACATAGGCAGCCTCTATATGGGTTCTGAATGGGGAAACACAAATGGGGCCCTCTTGGCCAAACCATATTGGCTCGACATGGGCAAACACAATCAGTCCCATATAGGCTGCCTACACTGGCCCAAGGTAGTACCCACAAAGGCAACCTCTATATAGGTTCTGAATGGGGAAATATGTATGCGGCCCACTTTGTCAAACCATATGGGTAAAACATGGGCAAACACAATCAGTCCCATATATGCTGCTTACATTGGCCCAAGGTAGTACCCACATAGGTAATACAGGTGCATCTCAATAAATTAGAATGTCGTGGAAAAGTTCATTTATTTCAGGAAATCAACTCAAATTGTGAAACTCGTGTATTAAATAAATACAATGCACACAGACTGAAGTAGTTTAAGTCGTTGTTTCTTTTAATTGTGATGATTTTGGCTCACATTTCACAAAAACCCACCAATTCACTATCTCAACAAATTAGAATACTTCATAAGACCAATAAAAAAAACATTTTTAGTGAATTGTTGGCCTTCTGGAAAGTATGTTCATTTACTGTACATGTACTCAATACTTGGTTGGGCCTCCTTTTGCATG